TCCGTTGAAATCGAGTGGATAGAGAAGAGGGAATGCCGTTGGGCAAATACAGTTCAGAATAACATTTATCCTGTAAACAGCTTCCATATGTGGCAAGCATGGGCCGGTGCCATTGACGATGATATGCTCAGATTCTTGGCCAAATGAAGCCATCCAGGCCTGATATTCTTCACTGTTCATCACCGGCGGCTCAGTGAAATGAACGACGTATCGCAGATTTGTTTTGTCACCACCGATATATCCCTGAAATGAATGCTCTTCAAAGCACACAAATCTCCAAGTTCGACAAAAATGCATGTACAAGGTAATGCTCACATGGACGAAGGACAAAACATGAAGAAGTGCTGCTGCTCAAGACTGTTTCAGAAAGAAATAATTATGCCTGGCATGCGACTTCAGATAAAAAGGGCTGGCACTAGAGGCGAAAAACTATTTATCCTTCACATGGTGGATTGGGGGCTGTACTGATGATTCTCACCCCATCCACAGCACTTACTATCTCTGTTTACAGCAGCAGATGTATTAAAAAAATAAGCTGGGACGAGCGTAACAGCGAAAATTTCAGAAATACAATCAGTTTTGCTACCTTTTACAAACAGAAGTCCAGCCGGCTTTCTAATCTATGAAAGAAATGGTTCGGATTAGGACGGTACAGTAGTACATGACAAAGCTTTACAATAAATACTAATCTACTAAATGCCTCAAACCCAAAAAAAGCTGAAAGACCGAAATAACACACGTAAAGGACCTTCAATTTTTTTAGTAAATGCGCGTTATTTTATGAAAGGTTTCAAAAATGTTCCAAAAATGTTATTTTATAAAAGATTTAAAGAAAGACCTTTTCTCCCGAAAAAAACTGAGGAAAAAAGGGACTTTTTTGAGAAATTTTTTCATAAAAAAGGAGGAAATGAAGGGAGAAAGACAAGCATGACAGACCTGAGGATAACTTTCGTCTACGATAATAAAACTGCGAAATAATCCCCCTCCCCCACCCGTTTCAAATCTTCTCTGTTCCAAATTAAATCCAATCCTCAATCTTCAGCCTAAGAAGGTCACTATTTTCCACCACAAAAACCCGTCAATGTACAAAAATGCAAAAGAGAGA